ATCCATCCATCCATCCATCCATCCATCTATCTATCCATCCATCCATCCATCCATCCATCCATCCATCCATCCATCCATCCATCCATCCATCCATCTAATCAGATGAATTCATTTGAATGCATGTAGTTGTTTGAACAATAATTGACCAGACTAAATCCACCAAACAACAAATATGAATTCTTTAATTAAATGGATTTTGTACTTGAAAAGACGAATGCAGTGTTTCTCCCCTCAGTGCCTCCTCATGTGCCGTCCTGTGAGGTGCCGAGCTCCGTGTTCGTGGGCTCAGGTCTCGACCTGCTCTGCAAGGACAAGCTGAGCGTTCCTCCTGCCACCTACCGCTGGTACAAAGACAACAAGGCCCTGACGGCCACGGCCGACACTGTGTACGGCATCGACACACACACAGGCACACTGGTGAGTGAGACCGAAAACATCTGAACACACAAACAACATCTCCTCGTTGTTGCTGTGCTCATTTCTCTTCTTTTCGTCTGTTTGGAGCAGAAGTTTAAGAGCGTGACCAAAACAGACACAGGGATGTACCGCTGTGAGTCCTCCAACAATGCGGGGGCGCCCAAGAGTTGTGTGGCCCAACAACTCAACGTTATTGAATGTAAGTTGTTTTGATACATGTTGGCATTCACACGTCTCGATCGAGGATTGTTTATAAAGATGGCCGTCGTGACAGCGCCACGGAAGTGAAGCTAAAGCGTCTTGAGTGCCACCTGGTGGTTGGCTGCAGTAAACTGTTTTTCTGATTAATGGTTTGATTGTGTTGCATTTTCAAGTGTTAATTTGGTTTTAGTTTAGTTTATTGCTTTAGAAACGGGGTGAAATGATTGACAGCTGAGACTCGCAGGTGTTTGATCCACTCACAGGAAACTGATGAAATGATTTCTTTACCTTCTTCCCAGATCCCTTGAATACGACAGTGTTGATAGCAGGTGCTGCAGCTTTTCTGACGCTCACTGTCTTCTGCTGCATCTGTGTGTGTGTGTGTCGACGCCGAGGCTGCTGCAGGAGTGAGTAGTGTGCTCTTATTGAGTGTGTGTGTGTGTGTGTGTGTGTGTGTGTGCTTTACCATGTTTTCCATATTGAATATGTTGATTCTGATAAATAAATGTGAGTCAGAACAATGAATAATTTCACATTAACAAAATAGAAAAATAAACTTGACAGGTTACATAATAATCTAATAGCATTTTCAGGTTGTGTGTGTTTTTAATTTTTGATTTGTAGTTTAATGAATGCATCATAATTTGTAAAATCATCTTGTGTTTTGTCTGGAAAAGTCTTTTTCTGAGAGCGTGTTTTAGCCCAGAAAATAGTAATGTTGAAGTACAGAATACTCTGCAGGTTACTTAGGTAGATATATTCCTCACTGTTAGGTACTGCAAGTAATGAGCAAAATGTCCGTCATCAGGTATGATATTGATAATTGAAGATATTAACTCTTTTCACTGTCCTCTGCTCTTTGTTGTGTCGTTGAACAGAAGAAAAAAGGACAAAAAGGTGAGCATCTCACTTTTCAGCCTCTCGAGTCAGTTCCGCCTGTAGCTGGGATGTGTCTATGACCGCTAATGAACTCAGGCTCAACCGCCACCCTTTGTCTTTCAGCAACAAGTCGTACAACCCGGGGCCTCCTCCTCCTCCCAGCCGCAACGTGAGTGATCAAAGTGGCTGTTATCAGGACAGGGCTTGTTTTGCTCGCTGACGTGAATTTGCGTCGCTATTAAACGCTGTTGAGAAGTCACTGATAACCCAAATGAAAGGAAATGATTCATTGTTTGCCCCTCTCTCTGTCTCTCTCTGTCTCTCTCTCTCTCTCTACAGCTCAAGCATTACAAACAAACTCAGTCCTTCATGATCTAAGAAAGAAACAGAGTCGGTCTTCAGATTATCCAAAGCCTTGGACACACATACACAGTCGTATCATCTGATATCAAGCAAAACCAGCGATTTCTGCAAAAACTTTGCTGCCTCCTAAAAAGTGGCCGTCTGTGTGTTGCCAGTTTGAAAGTTTCCTTTATCCTAATCTCCTGTAAATTGAAAATTCAGCTCAACTGTTTTTATAATGATGTGATATATATTTCATAATCTTTTTTTAGTGTGCTTAGACATTTTTGAAAATCTTGTTCAATCTTTTTTCCTTGTTGTTCACTTGTTACATAGTTTTTGGCTCTCCAACGCCACCTATAGGCTGTTAACTGTAACTATCCATAA